GGCCCTTTTATGCAACATATTTAGTGTGCCTGAAACCCATCACATGAGGTCAAGTGTAGAATCTTCCATGTGTAACCTCATGTCGACACTCAAAATGGTTCCAGATTTTTGGGTTAGGAAGGCTCAACCTGCAGTGAGGAGCCACAGGCCTCTGGAAACACTTCAGATCAAACTGGAGCACCTGACTCCAGCAGATTCAGTATTGTCGAGAGAGTGAGCAGTCTTTAATCACACCTGACTTTTTTTTTTTTTTTTTTTTGACAGGCAGAGTGGATAGTGAGAGAGAGAGAGAGAGAGAGACAGGGAGAAAGAAAGGTCTTCCTTTGCTGTTGGTTCACCCTTCAGTGGTCACTGCGGCTGGCGTGCTGCGGCCGGCGCACTGCGCTGATCCGATGGCAGGAGCCAGGTGCTTATTCTGGTCTCCCATGGGGTGCAGGGCCCAAGCACTTGGGCCATCCTCCACTGCACTCCCTGGCCACAGCAGAGAGCTGGCCTGGAAGAGGAGCAACCGGGACAGAATCCGGCGCCCCAACCGGGACTAGAACCCGGTGTGCCGGCGCTGCAAGGCGGAGGATTAGCCTAGTGAGCCGTGGCGCCAGCCCACACCTGACCTTTTTTGAAACCTTGTTAGTATGCTAGAGTTTTAAGGTTATTTTGTGAACATTTTCTTTAATGTTGATGCTAACAGTTTGGGTCTGTGACACCCAGACATGCCCACAGATATGCCCAGTGATGGACAGGAATGTCTACTGCAGAGTTGTGACAGTTGGAGACAACTTAAAATATCCACCAGTAAAGGTGTGGATAGGAGCTGGTGCTGTGGTGCAGTGGGTTAAAGTCCTGGCCTGAAGCTCTGGAATCTTATCTGGGTGCCGGTTCTAGTCCTGTCTGCTCCTCTTCCGATCCAGCTCTCTGCTCTGGCCTGGGGTAGCAGTAGAAAAGCTGGCTATTTTTTATTTTCATGCTGGATGTGACCTGACTCTGAGGGGTTCCAGAACTGTGGCGCTGAGACCCACACAGCCTTGGACCCAGCCCTGTGCACGAGGGCTCCCTTAGAAAGCTGAACTCTGTGTTGCTGGCATCTAGAAGAGCAGTTGCTACTTCCTGCCACAGAGCCAAGCAGCTGGAGCAGGTGCAGGGAGGTCCCCTCTGAGTGGGGACAAAAGGGGAGGAAGTGAGTGTGCCGGGCAGGAAACACAGCAGCAAAGACCGGGAGGCCTGACTTCACACAGGCAGGCACAGGAACACCTTCCCTTCTCCCTGCATCTGAGAAACGAGGCCTTTTTGGGTGGCCGTCTCCAGAGGTGCCTTGTGGATGAGAGGGAGATGCTAAATCCCTGCCTGGCCTCTTTGCTCCTGAAGCTCACAAGCAGAGGGCAGCCAGGAGCCTGCGCAATGGACCTGTGGCACCAGGGAGCCAGGCTGGTGTAGGATGCAGGCTGCCAGGTGGGCGCTTTATAAGCTGAGGCTCCATGCTCCCGGGCATCATCTGGCTCCAGGCCAGATCCCAGCCTTTTCAAGTGGCCGGTGCCTGCTGGCCGGCCTTCCACACTTCCAGGCTTGAGCTGGGTGGATTCTCTGGATGAGGGTCTTAGTCTATTTTCTGTTTTCTGCTGCTGCAACAGAAGCCTTGAGACAGGTAACAATACAGAATGGAAGTGTGTTTGGCTCACAGTTCTGGAAGCTGGGAAGGCTGGTAACATGCACTGGCGTCTGGTAAGAGCGCTTGTGCAGTGTCACCCCATGGCGGAAGGGGAAGAGCGTGTGGGACGCAGGCGGCAGGAGGGGCCGACCTTGCTGGTTGTGTGTTCTGGTCTGCTTCCCTCGGGGTAGTGGATATTCCATGGCTTCTCGTCACTGTGGTTTGCATTTCCACTTTCCTTATGATGGTTTAGGAAATCACAATCTCTAGGTTTAGTGACGTCAAATCTCAGATTTTTAGTGCTTGGGAAACTTTCTGTTCTGTGTTAAAGAAGTCATTCCCAAGCCCAAGTCTGGAGAGGACTTCCCTGTTTCCTTCTAAAGGTTTTACAACTTTCCCTCCCAACTGCAGGATCTTCGTGTGTCTAGAATTAGCCTTGGGGTGCGCTGTGAGTCAAATTCTGATTTCATTTCCCATGTGGGGACCCGGTTGTCCCAGCACCAGTTACTGAATGGACTTCCTTCATTCACACCAAGAAGTTTCCTTAAAAGCCCCAACCATGGGGGCTGATGCCGTGGCACAGTGGGTTAAAGCCCTGGCCTTATCTCATAATGGTACCTGTTTGAGTCCTGGCTGCCCCACTTTCAATACAGCTCCCTGTTAGTGGCCTGGAAAACTAGAGGAAGATGGATGAAGTGTTTGGGCCCCTGCACCAATGTGGGAGACCAGGGTGAAGTGCTTGGGTTCTGCCTGACCCAGTGCTGGCTGCTGTACCTATCTGGGGAGGAATCAGTGCAGGGAAGTCTCTCTCTCTCTCTCTCTCTCTCTCTCTCAAATTCCTAAGTCTGAAGGTTCTTGGGGCTTTAGGATTTTATAAAGCATCTTTCATCCTTCCTGTGTCAATAACTTATGACTTTGAGGCTTGAAGTCCTGTGTGGAATCAGGGACCCAAATCAAACTCGAACCACAGCAAAAGCCGTAGGCTAAAAAGTAACCTCGACCTAAACCTCATTCCTTTTTTTTTTTTTTTTTTGATTAAAAAATGTATTTGAAAAAATAAGGCTGAAGTGAATATGGATATTTAATCTGGCTTCATAAACTCTTAATAATTATTTTCTGTGGAACCAATAATGAGGAATGTACAGACAATTCAATATTTCTATGTTACCAGTACCAATCCTGGATTTTAAAAAGTAACTATAATTTTTAGACCATTAACTACACAGAAGATTACTAATACCAATAAGGGAGCAGTTTTCTTCCCCTCATCTCTAACTTTTATATCACTTATCTTTCTCCTCCTTACTAAGACCTGGCAGTCTTCTGACCATCCACGTTAACAATTCGGCTACAGATAATTCAGTAACTGCAGAGATTCTGAGTCCACCCTGCAGGATTTCAGAATGCCTCACCACATCTGATGTCACACACTACACATTCGCCGTCCTGATATTATGATTATCATGAAAGGGAGACAGTCTAGAAGAGGAGGGATAAAAAAGGGACAAATAATCCTCATGGACAATCAAGAGCATATGATAGTGCGTAGCTCTGATTTTTATGTAAGTTTCTCAAAAAGAAAAGAAAAATTCCAGGTCCCCCCTACCCCGCCCCGAATGTGACTTATTTTCATTATACAAAGTAGTGTAATAAAATAAGCGCTACTCTGCACAACAAGGATTTATGGTCACATAAGGCAAGTTAAGATAGAATGTTTTTCTGTGCCCTTAAAGCAATGCATTATGACCAGATGTCATGGAACCAACATGGCCTTCAAAAAAGCCATCCATTTTCTCTGGATATGGTGGCACCATCCTAATTTGAAGGGTAATCACTTGGTAAGTTTTCCATGAATTTTGGCATGTATGGTGGGTGCCACAAACACAACTGCCGTGAGTATGACAACTCTCTGAAAAGCACAAATCAAGCAAACTGAAAACAGGTCTTCATAAGCAGTACAAGGAACAATAAAATGCTGACTCAAAGCAGCACCCATACAGGACGCTGGCATCGCAAGTGGCAGCTTTATTCATTATACCACAACACCAGCCCTACCACTGTTTAAAAAAAAAAAAAAAAAAACATGTTTGAGGGGCCAGCGCTGTGGTGCAGTGGGTTAACGCCCTGGCCTGAAGCACCGGCATCCTATATGGGCACCGGTTCTAGACCCAGCTACTCCACTTCTGATCCAGCTCTCTGCTATGGCCTGGGATAGCAGTAGAAGATGGCCCAAGTCTTTGGGTCCCTGCACCCACATGGGAGACCCTGAAGAAGCTTCTTGCCCTTGGCTTTGGATCAGCTCAGGTCTGGCCATTGTGGCCATTTGGGGAGTGAACCAGCAGATGGAAGTGCTGGGATTTCTCTCTCTCTGGCTCTACCTCTCTGAAACTGTATGTTTCAAATAAATTAAAAAATTTTTTTTTTTTTTAGAGAAGCCAGGGCTGGAACCAGCTCTCCCATCTGGGATGCAGGCATCTTTTCTCTTTGTTGTTAGAAAAAAATCAAATTGCTTTTTTTTTTCTTTTACCATAAGCATCTTTTATTTTTAACAGTTTTATTTATTTGAGAGGCAGAGAGACAAACAAAGCTCCCATTCAGTGGAAGCAGATCTGGAACTCAAAACACCAGGATAGGATGCAGGTGTCCCAAGGAAAACCTAGCCACTATGCCAACATCCACACCGTAAATAAATGTTTTGTTAGTGGTAATAATAAACACTCCAAATGGTGTAACAGGTTTAGGTTTTATGGGGGGAAAACACGCAAGGAGAAGGAGGCGTTGGCGGAGTTGGTGGGGGATTTTCCAGGCGGCTGAGGTTGGGAAGGAGCACCCCCGAGAAGCAAACCGTGGAAAGGCTTTGGGGAGGGGCACGCGGGGTGCGGTCCACCCACACACGAGTGAGGCGACCCTGACATCCTCCAGTGCTGATACTCCTCCGACACCCACTGTTTCCCCTCGTGTATTTGCTTTTTCAAGATGTGATTCCGTGTTTTTATTTGCTTTCTGCTTGCCAGTGGGCAGCTTCGCCCATCTTGCTCCCCCATATAGACCAAGCTGCGCCATGCGTGAAGGGACAATGGTCTGGGGGCGAGGAGAGAGCAAGGACCATGGCATAAGGTCAGCACTGCAAAGGCCCACCCGCCACGCAAACCCAGCAAGCAGTGGGCACCCCCATAGTCGCGCACCGCTTCCATGACCCCTGACTAGACGCGCATGCGTGGGCAGAGGTCCTAGTGCGGGGCCCGCCTGATTGGCTGCTGCAGACGCATGCGCACTCCATCGCGCGTCGCCAGCGTTGGTGGGTGCAGGTTGCTTTTCAGCCTCCGTCACTCCTGCTGCACCTCTGTTTCTCATCCAGGGCGCTAGTCCCCGGAGTTCGGAAATGTTCCCGGAACTTAATAACCTTCTCAACACCACGCCTGACAAGGCGGAGCAGGTAAGATGTCGCGCAGCCCGGAAGGGGGCGGGCCGAGGGAGCATGGCGGAACACTGCATCCGGGGTACAGCGCGCGTGGCCCGCTGGGAAAGGAGCGACGGCGTCCATCCTTGGGCGCCTGGGATTTGTAGTCGGTAGCGGGCGGGCTTGGGCTGGAGACTTGGGCCCCCGGAAGGCCGGCCGCTGGACCTCGCATGTACACACGGGCTGTGCGTCCCTTCAGAGTTTCCAGGATCCATGTCCGAACTCTGACTGGCTTATGTCCACAGGGATGGGGGGGTCCCCCGCGCCCGAGACGAGAGTTTGAGTGTCGGCGGTGCTCGTGGGACCGGCTCCTGCACCGCACTGAGTCTGCCTGTGGCCCCGGAGCATGACCGCTGCTGCTCTTGCACGCAGCCAACCTTGGGTCGTACCAAGTCCGCCTTGGGTACCACAGCTTGGCCGCCGTTTTTGCACGGCCTCGCACTCCGCGGCACCTCGAAATGTTTCATATGTTAACGCGTGTCGGGCTTACTCCGTAATCTTTGTCTTCCTAATAAAGTGGTAACCTTTTCCAGACAGCCGCAATACCACGTGTGTGACGCCTTTTTATAACCCCATTGCGCCAGGCACATTGAGGCTTCCGGTAGATCCCTGTGCCTTTTGGCTACGCAGTAGTTAGTGACTCGCAAGCCCCAGGTGGCTGTGCTCACCTGCGAGTTCCCTGGAACGCTTCCAAAGCTCAGCTCAGCTCCGCCCAGCTCAGGATCGAAGCCGGGGAATGGTGAACTGAAGTGGGCACCAGGAAGTGACAGCTCTAGGAGAGAATTCAGAGCTCTGGCGTGTGACCTTGTATATCTTGTGCGGGAAAAAAATCCCAACCTGGGTCCCAGAGAAGTCAGCCACTTGGAAGGGGCCCGTGGCACCAAGGGGCTTGATCCTAACCTGCCCTGTCAGTGACAGAACTACAGGTGCCTGGAGGTATCGCAGAGACCACCGTTAGCTGTATTTCCAGAACTCTCCGCATCAGAGCTTGGCCTGAACCAGGGCCATGGGGAGGTCTTTGTTAAAAATGCCCCCTCCCCCAAAAAACACAATCACAGTTAGGGAGGAAGCTAGAAGACCTTTCTGGAGGTCCCTTCCGATCCTGGCAGTCATGATTTTCCCTGAAGTCTGATGGTGAAAGCATCCTTTGTTCAGGACCCAGTTCTGCTGGCCCTTGAGTTACTATGGTGAGGAGTGAGCAAGAGGAGGAATTTTTTTCTCTCATTGGCCTTGAGAAAGTGGAGGTAGCGATGTGCTTTGCCCATTACGAGTAACTTAATACTGGCAACAAATCACGATTTTTTTTTTGGTAATTTTGACTTATTTTCTTTTTTGGGGGGTAAACTTGTATCATTTAAAAATGCATGCTCTAGGCCGGCGCCGCGGCTCAAATGGCTAATCCTCCACCTTGCGGCGCCGGCACACCGGGTTCTAGTCCCGGTCGGGGCGCCGGATTCTGTCCCGGTTGCCCCTCTTCCAGGCCAGCTCTCTGCTGTGGCCAGGGAGTGCAGTGGAGGATGGCCCAGGTGCTTGGGCCCTGCACCCCATGGGAGACCAGGAAAAGCACCTGGCTCCTGGCTCCTGCCATCGGATCAGCGCGGTGCGCCGGCCGCAGCGCGCCGGCCGCGGCGGCCATTGGAGGGTGAACCAACGGCAAAGGAAGACCTTTCTCTCTGTCTCTCTCTCTCACTGTCCGCTCTGCCTGTTAAAAAAAAAAATGCATGCTCTAGCTGTAGAGATTTGGGGGTGGATTTCTACATGGGGTCCCCCTCCTTCCAGGCAGGCTCATCTGTAAATGTGTCCATGTGTTTTTAATTTTTCAGGGGAAACTGACTCTGCTGTGCGATGCCAGGACAGATGGCAGTTTCCTTGTGCATCACTTTCTCTCCTTCTACCTCAAAGGTCTGGCACCCACAGAGTGTAGGGAAAGAAGCTTCGGCAGCAAACAAATACAGGCTGCCTCCGGAAGCAGTGGGGAGGGTCCTTGGTAGCCAAGGCTTTGGTGCTTGGGTGGCCGTGGGGCTGAGTTATTAGGTAACAGAGGACTAGCCCAGCCCCAGCTGAGAGTGGCATGTGCCCATCGACGGCAGCCCTGCCTTCCCTTCCCCTCCCTGTTGTGCCGCAGCTGCCTGTCTGAGTCCATGTGTACCTTAAGGCCTCTGGGCCCTCAACCCCACTGACACTTTGCCCTGGCAACAGGAGCTTCCTGAAGATCACGGCCACTGCAGTTTCCACATGGAATTAGATTAGAAAAAGAAGAGAGCCAGATGAAGGGAAGGACTCATTTATCAGAGAGTTCTCCTGGAATGTGTGCTGTGCCAGGGTAGACCTTTGGTAGTCATAGTTGTAGGCATAGTTTTTTTTTAAAAAAGATGTATATATGTATTAGAAAGAGTTGTAGAGCGAGGGAGAGACAGAGCCATCTTCTTTCTGCTGATTCACTCCCCAGTTGGCCAGGAGCTTCCTTCAGGTCTCCCGTGTGGGAAACGGGCCCAAACACTGGGGCCATCTTCCACTGCTTTTCCCAGGCCATTAGCAGAGAGCTGGCTCAGAAGTGAAGCAGCTGGGACTCGAACCAGTGCCCATGTGGAATGGTGGCTCTACCCAGTTACACCATAGCGCCAGCCCCTGCGAACATAGTTTTGAAGGTGACTTTCTTCTTCAGTGGATGTGATTTTTAGCATAGAAAAAGCAAGAGAATCTTCACGTAAATTGTTAGAGTTAATAAGCTTCAGTCAGGTACCCGGAGCTTCTTTGCTCTTCCTTTTTTACTGTTGGACATGAAACCAGTTCCCCAAAATCATTTGTATGAAAGATCTTCAAAAAATCATGGAAATATGCATCATGAAAGAAACTAGGCATGGATTTCAAAATAGTTTGGCACCAAAATAAACTCTTTTAGTTTTACTTTCCATGAACTATTAGAGGTGTCCTTATATGACAACTCAAACATTGAAAAAGGCACAGTGTCTTTACAGTAGAACAAAACTGAGTGCCTATAATGCATGTGACAGTACATCTCAGGGCAGGTGTTTAGGGCAGCAGTTAGGACACCAGTTGCAGGGACAGCCAATTCAAAGGGCTGCTTTGCTTCTGATCTGGCTCCCTGGTAATGTACATGGGAAAGCAGTGGAAGATGATCCAGTTACTTGGGACCCCGCCATCCACATGGGAGGCCCAAATAGAGATCCATGTTCTTGGCTTCAGCCTGGCCCAGCCCTAGCTATTGCGGCCATGTTGGGGATGAACTAGCAGATGAAAGATCTCTCTCTCTCTCTCTTATTTCTGCTTTTTAAATAAATAAATAAATAAATAAGTAAATAAATCTTTAAAAATTTACTTATTTGAAAAGCAGAGTGACAGAGAGAGAGGGAGACACAGACACTACTAGTTGGGAGGCCTGAGATGTAACTGATAAATATGAGAAAAAGACATCTTAGACTTGAGGTTAGGTTGCAAGACCTCTAGGTCTCTAGTCCCACCTCTGTGCGTTTTGTTCTGGATGTGTGAGCTATAGGAGGCTGGTTGTACACAGAAGATTAGTTAAAAAGTGTATTTTTGTTTTCCAGCGAATTGTAAAGTCTGCTTTGTGGCACTCCTTCAGTCCTTCAGTCACTACAACATCGTGGCACAGAAGCTGGTAAGCATCTTAGACCTCGTGGTGGGATTACTTCTTGGCCTCTGGGGTGAGGCCCCGAGAGAGCAGGCTTTCCTGTTTGAGTTGTAGAGGATTTAGCAATCAAGGGACTAAGGATGCCACAGGCTCCTCAGCTTCTTATCTAAAGAGATTTGTGGTTTGTGGATGTCATTTAATCGAACCCTTCTCTACGGATTCTCAACCTGTTAAGGTTTTTTCCTCCTCAGTGTGACTTTGATCTTGGTCCGTCTGGGTTAGGGGCTTCCCACTGTCTCTCCTTAAGTCTAGAGCGTGAGACCCAGTTGGGGGATGGATAACTTTTGTTGTGTCCCCTCACCTTATCTTGGTCTGCCCCTCATCTCATCAGATGCAGGCAGACAAGACTAAGAGAGCCAGCAGCCAGTGGAGCCTGTGACTTAGCCCGGGCTGTGACCTGCGACCTGTGAACACATGGGCTTATTGAAGAGAACTGAGCAGCCGCTGCTGCTGCTTACTGTTGTGACTGGTATTGGACAGGTCAGTCTTAGCGAGAAGACCAGGCCACTCACCAGCAATGATCTTGAAATGCCCGTGTTACTGTGGGGCCAACTCACTGCCTGGGAGAAAGCAGGGAAGGTGCAGGGGAAAGGTGAACTAGGTCTTTCCCGTCCTTGGAGGAGGAGGAGGACGTGCTGCGCTGGAAGGGAGGGCCAGCACTCAGGGAGCGCAGTCTTCACAGGAATGTGCGTTGCATTCCGGGTCTTTTTTTTTTTTTTTTTTTTTTGGACAGGCAGAGTGGACAGTGAAAGAGAGAGACAGAGAGAAAGGTCTTCCTTTTCTGTTGATTCACCCCCCCCAAATGGCCGCTATGGCCAGCGTGCTGTGCCGATCTGATGGCAGGAGCCAGGTACTTATCCTGGTCTCCCATGGGTTGCAGGGCCCAAGCACTTGGGCCATCCTCCACTGCCTTCCCGGGCCACAGCAGAGAGCTGGCCTGGAAGAGGAGCAACCGGGACAGAATCCGGCACCACAACCGGGACTAGAACCCGGGGTGCTGGCGCCGCAGGCGGAGGGTTAGCCAAGTGTGCCGCAGTGCCGGCTGCATTCCGGGTCTTGCATGTTCCTGAGCGCATTGCATTCCAGGTCTCTGCTCGTACCTGTGCACGTTGCATTCCGGTCTCTGCACGTCTCAGTGCGAGTTGCAGTCCGGGTCTCTGCACGTCTCAGTGCGAGTTGCATTCCTGGTCTCTGCAGGGTCCCTGTCCGCGTTGCATTCCGGGTTCTTGTACGTCCCTGTCCGCGTTGCATTCCGGGTCTCTGCACGTCCCTGTGGCTCTGGCATCCGTGCTCCCCATGAGAAAGCTGTGGACTCCCATCCCAGAGGGCCACTTCCCTCTTACTCTTGAGTCATCATCTGCAGAGCAGGAATGGCACACGCAGTAGGCGTGTAAAGTCCTGGAGTGGGAGCTCCGTGCCTGTGATGCTTGGCGTGGCGGGCCTCTTGCCTAAGTAGGCTCCCACAGCGCAAGTGCAGAGGGATGGTTGGGAGTCTTGCTCTGATAGGAGCAGCCTTGGGAGCCAATGGTGTTAATGATGGAGGACGCTGGGTCTCTGGTGTGTGAATGAGCTGCTGGGACCTGACCTTGGGGCAGGGCAGTCTGACCAGCTCCCTGTGACCTGTCAGCACACACAGAGCAGTGGGGTACGTGTTGAGACCATGTCAGCATCCCAGGGTGTTTGTTGAAGTGTATATCTTGGCCCGGTCCTCCCTCTGGAGATCTGAAATCAGGCCCAGGGATCTGCATTTTAATCAGGCATCTGAAGGGATTCTTGACCAGGTACCTCATGGAGAACTGTATTCAAGCAGTCCTGGTCTGGAGCAGGGGAGGACAGACCGAATGTCTGTGTCCCCTGTGTTTGGTAAATGAGGCATCACTGAGCACAGCCACACTGGTTCCTAGTTGTTTCTGGCTGCTGTTACTTTACAGCAGAGACTGCCTGAGCTGCAGAGGCTGCCCCATCTTTGGTGGAGGTAGATTGCTCATTTTCAAATTGTTTCTTTTTTTAAAATAATATTTATTTTATTTGTTTGAAAGAGTTACAGAGAGAGTTAGAGCCAAGAGAGAGAGGTCTTCCATCTGCTGTTTAACTCCCCAAATGGCCATAACGGCAACGGCCAGAGCTGAGCTGAGCTGACCCAGAGCCAGGAGCTTCTTTCGGGTCTCCCACCTGAGTGCAAGGGCTCATGTACTTGGGCCATCTTCTGCTGCTTCCCAGACCACAGCAGAGAGCTGGATCAGAAGTGGAGCAGCTGGGACTCAAACCAGCAGCCATATAGTTTGCGGTGCTGCAAGCCCAGGCTTTAACCCGCTGTGCCGCAGCGCTGGCCTCAAATAGTTTCTGCCTGCTGGTACTTCACAATAGCAGAGTCGAAAGTTTGCAGTGAGACTGCCCGAGCCGCAGCGCCCACCCGGTCCTTGGTGGAGAACGTTTGCTGACTCCTGACCTAGGGCATCAGGGGCTGCTGTCACCCCACTCTGACAGGGCGCTGCCTCAGGGAAAGGAAGAGGGAAAAGCGGTGGTGCTTCCCCGTAACGAGCTCTTACTGTATTCCAGTCAGCCTCCACTTGGCATCCATGGCTTGTTTAAAAGTCAGAAGACGGGTAGCACTGTTGCGTAGCGGGTAAAGCCGCCGCCTGCACTGCCAGCATCCCAATGGACAATGGTTTGAATCCTGGCTGCTCCACTTCCGATCCAGCTCCCTGCTGATGGCCTGAGAAGGCAGTAGAAGATGGCCCCACTGCTTGGGCCCTTACACCCATGTGGGAGAGCCAGAAAAGGCTCCTGGTTCCTGCTTTTGGCGCAGCTCTGGCCGTTGTAGCCATCTGGGGAGTGAACCAGCGGATGGAAGACCTCTCTCTCTCTCTCACTCTCTCTGCCTTTGCCTCTCTGTAACTCTGCCTTTGAAATAAATAAATAAATCCTTTTTTTTTTAAGATATATTTATTTATTTGAAAGTCAGAGTTACACAGAGAGAGGAGAGGCAGAGAGAGGTCTTCCATCCGATGGTTCACTCCCCAATTGGCCGCAATGGTCAGAGCTACACCAGGAGCCAGGAGCTTCTTCTGGGTCTCCCACGCGGGTGCAGGGGCCCAAAGACTTGGGCCATCTTCTACCGCTTTCCCAGGCCATAGCAGAGAGCTGGATTGGAAGAGGAGCAGCCAGGACTAGAACCGGCGCCCATATGGGATGCTGGCGCTTCCTTTTTTTTTTTTTTAAATGAAACGTCAGGCACCAGTACTGTGGCATAGTGGGTAAAGCCACTGCCTACAGCAGAGGCATCTCATATGGGTGCTAGTTCAGATCCCAGCTGCTCCATTTCCAATCCAGCTCCATGCTAATGTGCCTGGGAAAGCAGCAAAGGATAGCTCAAGTCCTTGGGCCCCTGCACCCATGTGGGAGACCCGGAAAAAGCTCCTGGCTCCCAGCTTTGGATTAGCCCAGGACCAGCCATTGCGGCCATTTGGGGAGTCAACCACTGCATGGAAGCTCTCACTCTGTCTCTCTCTGTGTAACTCTGCCTTTCAAATAAATAAATCTGTTTCTTTAAAAAAAAGAAAATTCATGTTACTGTTACAGATTGAATAACAACACTGAGTAGTCATAAAAACAAATACGTATGTTTTTTTTTTTTTTAATGTGACAGTGAATAGAAATGCACTTGAAAAGAAAAAGAGAGAATTGTGGGATAGGAGCACCCTGGGGGAAGGACACAGGCCTGCGTGTGGAGTGCACATGTGCAGAGTTGGGGGTGTGGCTTGTGGCCTCTAGCTGTCAGCTGGCCTCTCCGATGGGCTGCCCTCTACAAGGCACAGTGACTCACTGTCCTCTCCATCACGTTTAGGGTGTCAGCCTGGCCGCAGCACGGGAACGTGGGCAGCTTGTGTTCCTGGAGGGTCTCAAGTCCTCGGTGGATGTCTTCTTTCAGGCTCAGGAGGATCCACACCCCCTGCAGTTTCTCAGGTCAGTCTGCCGGGGCCCAGCCCAGAAGTGCACACCAGGCAGATGGGCCCAGACAGCCCAGACAGCTTGTGATTCCTTCTGTTTGTTCTGGGGGAGGCGCAGCTGGCGTCAGGAGTCAGATACTCTACTTGGTGCTGCAGCATTGTGGGAAAACCCGTGGCTGTGACCGTGGGCTGAGCGTACGTTGTCCCCAGAGCTATGGAAAGTGTCATCTGAGAACGTGCTAGAGCGAGATGCTTCGCTTCCCAGCCCTGGCTTAGAGCCCTAGTGCACAGCTTTGCTCTGTTCTTGGTTTGATACAGGGATCCGCAAACTGGAGGCTGTGGGCCAGCTTCCTGTGTCTGTAAATAAAGTTGCATTAGAGCACAGCTGCATTTTACTTGTGTGTTTGGTCCCTGCTTGTTTGTACTAAGGCAACACGGTGAAGAGTTTAGACAGGGACCTCATGAGCCACAAGCCTAATATTTATTATCTGGTCGTGTGTGTGTGTTGTGTGTTTTATGCTCCATCCCATCAGGTCAGGAACTGCAGGCTTCTCCTGCTTAGCCAAACAGAGCTAACCCCCCAAATGCCCTAAGCTCCTGGGCTCCGGGCCTGTTGGTGTCTCTTAAGATTCTGCTAGGACTGTTTATTTTTGTGTCCCTCAATTTCTTTCTTTTCTTTTCTTTTTTTTTTTTTAAGGATTTATTTTCATTTACTTGAAAGGCAGGGTTACAGAGAGAGAGGCAGAGACAGAGAAAAATCTTCTGTCTACTGTTTCACTCCCCAAATGGCTGCAACAGCTTGGGCTGTGCCAGGCTGAAACCAGGAGCCCAGAGCTTCCTCCAGGTCTCCCACGAAGGGGCAGGGGCCCAAGCACCTAGCCATTCTTCCCATTGTTTTCCCAGGCTCATTAGCAAGCAGATGGATCAGAAGTGCAGCAGCTAGGTTTCGAACTAATACCCTTATGGGATGCCGGCATCACAGTTGGTGGCTTAACCCATTGCACCACAATACCAATCCATGTGTCCCCCAATTTCTAGCACAGTGCTTTATACCTAGCAGGCCTCAGGCAGTACTTGAACTGAAATGATTCACTCACCTGTGTCTGCATTGCATGCCTTTTCTTTTCCAGTTGTGAATCCCTTGATACTGAAGACTGTGCCACTGTTGCTGGCCTGCTCCAGCCCTGTCCTGGGAGGCCATTGATCCCATGTAAACATTGTAGAGAAGGAACTCAGATGACTTTTGTCCTTTGTCTTCAGGGAGGCCAGTGCTGGGAACCTGCAACCGTTGTACGAGTTTGTGCGGGAGGCCCTGACACCCGCAGACAATGGGGCGGCTGCATGGAGGTGCCCAGTGCTGCTGGTGGACGACCTCAGTGTGCTGCTGAGCCTGGGCATGGGAGCGGTGGCTGTGCTGGACTTTGTCCACTACTGCAGAGCCACCGTGTGCTGCGAACTGAAGGTACCAGTGGAGCTGCTGTCTCTCTCTCACCTGTGACCTCTCTGAGTCCAGAAGGTGCAGACTCAAAGTGTGGTGATGATTTTGTTTATTTGCTTGGGATTTTGGCCTTGTCCTGGCAGGCTGAGAAACTTACTGGTCTGCCCTCACTGCTCTTGCCTACTTTCTATTACTGACAAATCCCTCAAAATTAGAGAGACAACTGGCACTATGTCCAGTGGGGCTGGCTGGGCATGGTGATGCTGCCGTCCCACCCTGCCACACATTGCCAGGGTGTCCTGGGCCAAGGGATTATCATCCCTGAGTGTATTTTGATGCCAGCTGAAATAACAGGTGTAATCTACTTTAAACACTGTGAAGTACCAAAAAAATAATTGTGCAGTACAAGGGGAAGACATCAGACAGGATCTTCCTTATCAGATTATGAGACAAAAGTGGAGATTATGCTGTGATAGAGATTTTAATGGTAAGAGTAGATCCACCAGTGAAATGAGAATGCTGAGGTTGCCTGTCTCACAGGTGCCTGACTGTAAGACTTAAGTGAGATGGAGTTTGTGACTCACCGGCACTGTGTCCAACCCCTGGTGCTGGCCGCCCTTCTGTAGGGGTGATGCAGCCCGTGGCGCTCGGTGCTCTGTTACATCAGCGTGGTGTGGTCAGGCTGAGCGCAGAGCAGTGGAGAAGCTGCAGGGTGTGGGTTTCCAGCAGTGCGTGCTGAGCACTCGGGTGTGAGTCCTGCCTGGAGATTGTGTTCAGGCAGCTTCTGAGGCTGTCGTGGTACAGTTGTGCTACAGGAACCTGGGTGATGTGGAGAGACTGGGAAAAGCAGGAAATGAAAAGAGCTCGCAGGACACAGCCAAGGCTAGGGGTGAGGGTGAAGTAGTTAGAGCCGCCTTCTGCAGCTCGGCCTGCTGCGTGGCCGGCTCCCACGTTATTCATCAGCTCTGTTTCCAGCGTCTCCATCTCTCATCCCTTATCCGCTCTGTGTGGCCCCGGTACCCATTACGAGCTCACGATCTGTTGACTGGATGAATTG